TCCACAGAATTCCTCATCAGAAGCCCTTACAAAATCTGGATGTCTTTTTAAACAAAAACCCTCTTTACCTGCTGATTTCCTCCTGAAACTGCTAAAAAGTCTTCTCTTTTATGGAGTCCATGGCTGACCTCTGTTGTTATACTTCTCAGAACATACATTAGCTTTCCTTCCTCCTAGACCATAAGCACTGGGGGGCAGGGACCATATGGTGTTCTTCAGCAGCTTCTACTGTAGTAGAAGTGCACTGATACCTAGTGAACATTCGAGTGAATGAGTGAACTCTACCATTGCAGTTGTGATCCTCTGGGTAAAGGAGAAAGTAACAGCTTTATTGAATACCTACTATACATATGCCTACTCCTATGTTCCATCACTTGACCCTGATGAAAGCATTGCTGTGAAATGGTACTACGTATTTACAGAAGAGAACACTCAAGCTTTGAAGTTGAGTAACTCAAATACTAAGGGAGTGGCTGGCATTGGAGCCCAGATCTGTTGAGCTCCCAGAATCCCACCAGTGTTCATGTCCCCCTGCTGGCCCATGGGTGTCCTAAACAGTGAGAGATAACCTGCAGCATGAGTTACATTTAGTTTCAGCCATATAGATCTTAGCCCATTTGTTAAGCACTGCCCCAATTCAGAGATGCTTTTTATTGAACAATGAATGGTAAAAATGTATGCAGCCTACTATGTGAGAACCACTTGAGACGGTGGTAATAAGTCATCCCAATATACTGTTTCCAGTTTGCTCCATGTGCCACTTGTCACTCCATCTAGATAAGATGCTTCTGGAGGACAAGGTCCATAGTGTTGCCACCTTTTTGTTTCTCACTGCGCCTGGGTAATGTGAGACACAGTGGCACTTAATTCTTATTGATGTGAACGTTCCATTTTCTCCTGAGTGCTAATTCATGTCCTCATTGTCCTTGAAAACTTACCCACTCCAGGATACCTTATGCAGTTGACCTCTCCTCAGTGCCCCCGATTTATTGCATATAGCTGGGTTGTATTGATTTTATTTGCAGTTGATTTCTTGCTTTGCTTCTCGTGTCCTTCAGCTGTTTTCCTCTCTGCACATCTCCAGCTGTCTTGAAAGGCAGGAAAACTAGTGACTTTTTTCTTTTCCTTTTCCTCCACCCAGCCCCTAGAATAGTGCTCTGTAAACATTGCACAGATGACCAATAAATACTTTTGACTCCTTGAGCCTGATAGCTTCTGTTCCTTGCTGGACTGACAGCCCAACACTGGAGCCTGAATCCTTTATTTATTAGATGAGATTTCTATAGCACCTTTCCCCTGAAGAGATCAATATCAATGAAGTTTGTTTCTGCTTCTGGAAAGTGCTTTTACCTAAGCAGACCAAGGCTCTGATAAGATCACATGATAGTCCTTACTCCTCAACTATTGGGCCCTAGAGATGTAGACTCCAAGAAAAGCCTCACCAGTTCAGGTTCGGCTATCTTGCGGCCAGCAATGAGCCTGAATAAGACTGTGACAAATCAGCAACACAGGTTCCGCAGCATCGGTTGATATTATAGGTAGTGTTATATATAAAAAGAGAACTTGCATTTGGGGGGCACAGCCATCTTTTAGAAGACAGATATGGGGAAGGTCACCTTAGCACTCAATACGTATTGTCTGCCCACTGACCAGAGCCCCATCACAGTGTTTGTGGATTATAGTTTCTCAGATAGTGGTTGGCGTCATTAGAACCATTCAGTCTCTGAAACTCAGTGCCACTAGGGAGAGCGTCCCTGGGACAGGACCCAGAGACTCCAAACATATACATGCTGGGTAGGTGGGAGATACGTGCTGAGAGATGGCACTGTCTAGCTGCTGAGAGGAAGAGCTGATTTGGGGTAGTCAAGGCCTACTGTGAAATATGGCACAGAATTCAGAGGCCAAAGACCAAAAAGGATGAGTCAGCCCTATAATTCACTGGAGAAGTGCCTAAGATAATTGGGTCAGCTGGCTTCTCTACGAAATTGCTCACCTTTCCACATATCCTTGTTTGTACAAACATTATTCCCATCCCTATTCACGCTTAGGCAGAATTGAGCAGGAGATGAAGTCATCTGCCATGTACTTTCCAGACAGATGACAGCTGCACATGTAGAAGCTACATAGTGTGGATACTCCCACTGTCCACCAGACTCGGTCTGCCCTTGAGCCTACTGTCCAGAAAACCCCCTCTGTGGTCAGAGCAGGTGTCAAGGCAACCATAGCTACTGAGGCACCTTGAGAAACAGAAAGCGGGAGTGGGGGGATTTGGGGGGAGGTGTTAGAAAAAGGAGGAAAACAAAGTAGAAGAGGACTAGAAATGTAAGGAAATGGGAAGAGGGCAGAAATGGAGATGTGGTGGGGCGGGGAAGTCCACTGGCATTTACTCAAGGGGTTGTGTGAGCTTGGGAGGGTGCCCCAGCTTACGTCTTGCTGAGATTTGAAGGATGTTCCCTTTCCCTGTTGTCGCCTGTGGAGGTGACAGGTAGAGCCACCTGTACTGTCTGCTTTGTTCTCAGTGTGCAACACAGGGGCATATTTGGAAGGAGGGGATGACAAGAAGTGCTCCTCTTTTCTCTGGGTACCTCCCTGTACATGATCACGGGGCCTCACCGACTGTTGTACGTGCTGAAATGTGCAATGTCATGTTGGATGACTGGGAGACAGATGGCACTGGCCTATGGGAAACTCTGCCCAGTGGCTCTCTCCTGCAGCAGACAGCCAAGACTGCTTCATTTATCCTGATGAATTCTCCAGAACAGTACTCTCTGGCTGCAGAGGGACTAGGGGGAAGTGTACTATGCAGGTGTTGGATGCTCTCCTATGGCCAGAATTTTCTAAGTATCAATCAAGATGTTGCTTGGATGCAGATGGGTTGTTCTTAGGCTGTAAGGTGGGAGGTGGCAGGCAGTGGATACTCTGTTGAAGACGTTTCCTGTGGGTAATGGAGGCTTAGACTTCTGGCAGCCCACTTGTGCCTTGAGGAGCTGAGCAGGCTTCTTCCTCTCTAGATTATGCTGTATAGCAGCAGGCCTCTCCACACACTCACATGCTCTTCTTGAACCATGTCAGCCCGGTGGCTCCTGGGAGATGGAAACTATGAGTCAGCACATGATGGAGTTTGTGCATCCTTGTGACTAATACATAGTATGACATGTGCTCCCTAGAGCAGTGCACTGCAGTGTAACAGATTCACCTGGGAAGGGGAAGGCTTCCAGATTTACAAATTAAAGGGCCAGGTTGGTGTTAATACTCTTGTGTCAATTAAATTGCTCTTCCTTTGAACTTAACTACCCCAGGATTAATTTTCCATGGAATCTGGAATAAATGACCAAAATACTGGGGGGTAGAGTACGAAATGAATGTCAGTGGGAACTTGGGTGATTATGCTTCAATTCTTCATTATCTGTACTCAGCTCATTTGTGATTATGAGTTACAGCAAAGTTTTAATTCCAGGAGAGCATCTAATGCCATCTTGGACATTTCTGGGTTGCCTCTCAGAGTGAGCTCAGTGAATATAGGTTCATATTAATAATGGCAATAGAAAAGCATAATTAGGAAAGTAAACCGGATACTGCAAAACAATGGAATATATCCAAAGCCAGACAGTAATAGTTTTTAGATTGCACTCACCGTGCTCCTGTTCACCCGGGTAATTGGAAGTAGACTGTGTGGTGGTGGTCCTTTCCAGGGGTGGCAGGGAGGGGCACAGTTACCAGCATTAAACATTTCTTTTATTGCCAAAAGTAATTTTCTTCTATTTTCAATGAGTCAGATGTTGACTCAAATTATTTATTAATTCAGTCTACTTGAGTTCCAGAGGAACAGCAGGGAAAACAGCAACAAAGTCCCTGACCGCATGGTGCTTTTGTTCTTTGGGATGGAGATGCAGCAAACAAGGGAAAAGATATAAATGAGATACTTTGTGGTAGGAGTAAGTGCTGTGGTGTAATAGGATGACGGAGAAAGAGAAGGGCTCTGCCCTGGGTGGGGGTGGGGTGGGGGTGCTGCAGGTAGTGGTGGGGAGGCTAGCATCTGGAAGGAGGTGAAAGCGGAGCTAAGACATAAAAACTGGGAGAGCCAGCCATTCAGAGAGCTTGGGCAGGGGAAGCGTCCTCGATGGAGAGAACAGTGAGGTGACCCTGAGGGAGGAACAACCTAGCATATCAGGACCAGAAAGGTGGCCCGTGTGGTTGGAGCACAGTGCGTGAGGAGAGGCGGGCAGGACCAGATGGGGGATAGTTAGACCTTTGCAAGGTCTACTAGAATTTTACTCTAAGTAAAAGTAGTGGGAAGGCATTGAAGGGCTTTAGGCAAAGGAGTGGCGTGATCTGATTTACATTTTATGTTACATTTCTATCCCTCTGGGACATGAACACAAATGCTTGTGTATGCATACACTATCAAGAATACATAAGAACTGGTCGTAGTGGTTGCTTTGCCTCTGGGGAGGGCAACTGAGAGAATGGGAAGGGAGTCTTCATTTTTGTTGAATATTATTTCCTGCAAATTGAATTTCTGTTATATTCATGTATTACCTATTCAAACAGGAATTAATTAACAAATATAAAAAAGTACATGTCAAGTCACTTGCCCTGAAAGAAGGAAAGAAAAAGAAAGAAATCCCTCTAACTGCTCTGAGAGAGAAGGCTGGGGGTGGGAAGGCAGCAAAGGCAGAAGAGTGCAACTGCATTGTGGGCTCCAGGTAGCCATGTTGGAGGCTTGGCCTCACTGCATCTCAGCCTTTGCTGGCCTTTGTTCTGTTCCATCAACATGCCGCACACATTCTTGCCACGGGAGTTTTGCATGAGATGATGGCGAGAAGCACTTGGGCAGATTTAGAACATCAGTTAGAGGTATATCCAACAAGACTAATAATAAAGTTGGCACGAGGAATAAGGGAATAAGAAACCAAGAAAGAGGCCCGGGTTTGGCTTGAGCAACTGTGTGGATATGGTATCACTCCCTGAGGCAGGGAGGATTAGGAGATGAGCTAATACAGGACTTTTGTTTTGAACATGTTACAGTTGAGGTTCCTGTTAACCAGTCTGTTCTGGTGTGTTTGTCAAGTAGTAAGTTAGATATAGGAGTTGAGAGTTTAGGGGAATAATTTGTGGGTGGAAATAAAAGTTCCAGAGGCATCAGTATTTAGACTGTACTTGAAGCTTTGGGTCTGGATGAGATTACCTACAGGAGGGAATGTACAAAAATACAAGAGGACTACATTCTGTAGTGGTTTCAGAAGGGAAGCCAGTAAAGGGTCCCAAGGAGCTATAGCCAGTGAAGTGGGAGGAAGATGAGGAACATCACAGAACACCATAGAAGCCAAGGGAGAGAAATACTACAAGAAAGGAACAGGAGACAGATGCTGCTGAGAAGTGAGGGTGAGCAGGTTGGATTTGGCCACTTGAGCTCTTGACTGGCCTTTATCTGTCCCCTGAGGTTCGGAGCACACAGTCTCTGTAACTAACCTCCCGTTCATTAACTCAGTTGAAATATTTTGAGTGAACCACACACTGTTCTAGGCATTAAATTACAAAAGCGTGGTTCCTGCTTTCAGAAAATCAGGAAAACAAGTTAAATGAAAACATTACACACTGACTGTATAATTATAATTGGGACCAGTGTTTCAAGGAAAAGTCCAGGATGCCATGAGAGTGTATAATGGGGCTCTAGATTAGTCTGAGGGTCTAGGGAGGTCTTCCTGAGGAGAAGCCATTCAAAGTGAGGCCTGAGGAAGCAAGCATTTGGTTAGGTGAGTGTGTCAAGGACATAGAGTACAGGAGGGTGGGGGGGTGAATGGCATGAGGAGAGACAAAGAGGCAGTGGGGTAGGAGAGTGAGCTAAGATGGTGAAATTGATTGTCATTCTTGGGAAACCACTAAAGGGTTTAAATAAGAGTGTGATGGGGCGCCTGGGTGGCGCAGTCGGTTAAGCGTCCGACTTCAGCCAGGTCACGATCTCGCGGTCCGCGAGTTCGAGCCCCGCGTCAGGCTCTGGGCTGATGGCTTGGAGCCTGGAGCCTGTTTCCGATTCTGTGTCTCCCTCTCTCTCTCTGCCCCTCCCCCATTCATGCTCTGTCTCTCTCTGTCCCAAAAATAAATAAACGTTGGAAAAAAAAAAAAAAAGAGTGTGATTATCACAGATCGGGATGTGGGGGATCACAAGGTTGTTGGAGTGGCCCTAGCAGGAGGCACTGGTGGCTTTGACTGGGTGCTGGTGGTAAAGGTGGAAGGAAGAGAATGAATTTGATTTTGGGGACTAGGATCCACAGGACTTGCTGGTTGAATGTGAAGAATGAGGAATATATCAGTGATGACCCAGGTTTGTGTCATAAGCCACTGGCTGCAAGGTGAGCCTGTTCTGCTAGAGTGGGGGACACTGAAGAAGTATGTTTGTGAGGGAATAGCAAGTGTTCCATTTTGGGCACCTTGAATCTAAGATCTCCAACTTAGCCAGTAGATAATTGGATACAGAGGCATAGAGCTCCAAAGAGAGAGGTAGGTCTGGGACAGAGAAAGACATTTCAAAGTTGTTGGCCTATGTGGTTAGAGTTTTAAACATTGGGGCCAGTGTGGGTGAGACAAAAAAAAAAAAAAAAAAAAGAGTCCAGCGCTGAGGAATTCTCATACTTAAAGGACAGTAGGGAGAGAGAATAAAAACAAGGAAAGCAGTATGTGCCCGTGAGAGTAGTCAACTGTTCCAGACACTATCGAGGAGAACTGAAAAGAGCCCATTGGGTTTAGCAATGAGCAAGCTCCTCATGGCATTTTTTATATACCTGGACTGTATAACCTTATCTGTGCCCCCCTCCCCACCCACTCTCCGAGTGAAAGGGAATTGGGCTGTGAGGTCAACTCCCCCCACCCAGGCAGAGAAGAAGTCTCTAGGATCCTGGAGTGGGTGGTCCATTCATTGGGGGTTTTAACTGTCTATATCCATGGTTTGGTTTCAAGTCTGAATTCATGTGTACAGCTAAAGCATTCTTCTGCCACTGAGAAAGCCTCTCTCCCTGCAGATGAGGGGTGTTTAAATAAAGTAACTTTAAAAATGGAGAATCAAGAAGCCAGCTTCTCTGCCCTCCCCGCCCCTCTACACACACTTAGAATAGTGGACCTCACATGTTGTGGGATTTGTGACTTTAAGGCTTAAATTTTGTGAAGATCAAGAAGAGCGTGCTTATACTCTGGAGGCCCTCAGAATGACCTTTCTGAGTTAATGTGAAAACAAGAGGCATGTAGAGAGACTTTTCATTCTTAAAAGAAGCACAAAGCAAATGCACGTGACATTGGCACCGTTTGGATAAAAGCATAATTGTTTCCAGAATGTCTACAGCCCATTCCTTTCTCTTGTTCCTCCTTTCACCGCAGCTCCCAGCTCGACCGTCTCAGGGAAATAGACACGGGCTCTTCAGCGCGTGGTCAGTACGTGACCAAACTTGGAAACACACTTGCTCTGCCTCTTCTTGTGAGAGAGGCTTGCAGAATTCACAACCATACCTGTGGAGAAGCCCCCACAGGAGCAGAGAAGCTGCTCTCTGCTGTCCTTGAAAAGTTTGTGTCCCTTTCATGGTGTCCCTAACCAGTGAGTGCTTTCTAGGCTGCCCTGTGTAGTCTTCATATATTTAAATCAAGTTGCTCTAAAATTTGCATATCTTCAACAGAAATCTTTACTGAGCTTGTCACTTACTGTGCATCTGTAGTCTGTACAAAGAGGTTTGTGAAGAGGGGCAGAGGAGACCACGTGTTCAGAGGAAGATTTCACGTTCATTCTCCTTTGTCAGTAGCAGTTTCTCAGAAGGAAACCAGAGTCTAGACTGAGAGGTAAACGGGAGGAGGAAGAAGGGGAAGGGGGCTCCCAGCCTTGAAGTCGAGTTTGTTAGTTATATCCTGTAAGGTGAGGGGGTGACAAAAGCTGGAGGAGCCATCCAGCAGCAGCCTTCCTTCAGCCAGGGGCTTCGTGTGCACTAGCTGCTTTAATGTCCGTAACCCCGTTTATGGGCAGTACAAGTGAGGCTCCGAAAGGTTGAGTGACTTACCTGTAACACACAACTGTCAGAGCAGTGCAGCTGGAACTTGAATCCAGTACTTTGGCTCCAAAGCACAAGTTTCTCACTGGGTTTTGCAGAAAGAGAACTTGAGGTTGCCCTGTTTATGGGATTTGCCATAGGTACCTCCCAGTTCCAATCTGTCATCTTCGTACTCTCTCCCATGACCTCACCATATGGATTGAAAGGCCGACAGAGAAAAATGGCAAAAGTATTCCTTTCCTTTCCAAGTGTTGTTCTGGAGAGAGACACATGGCATTTACAGTCGGAGGCCCCCTGACATTCTGTGACTTGGGTGAACTGGCTCTTGCCAGTGTAGCCTCAGGGATGGCTAAACAGGCCACAGTTCTCTGGAGAGCCTGGCAGCTGAGTTGCTGCATTGGGCCCAGGCTGTGCCCTCAGTGGCTCTTGGGTGGGGTGGGTGGGGCCCTTTTTCTTGCCTACAGTGCAGCTTTGGAGCTAGTTTTCTAGGAGGGTTCTCCATTTGAGAAGGTAGTCCTTTAAAGGACAAGGAAATGCTGAAAGAGAAATCTCCAGCCTGTTGGGAGGAGGATAAGGTTACCCAAGAAATGGAAGTTTCCTGCCAGTACCTCACTATTATCTGGAGACCCTGAGAGGCCTGTGGTGGGGGGAAGGAATGGAGCAGAGGCTGGGAGTGCAGGCACCTGCTAGGGTTTTTCTGGATCGTTAAAACTGCCTCAGGTACCAAGAGGCTAATACTGCCTGCCTTTGCTACTGAAATGGAATGATGTTTGAAAATGCAAGTCATTATTCCTGTGGCAAAAACTGCCTTGAGCCATTTTCTCTTAGTTTTTAAATATATGTTCATCTGTAGATAAAACAGCCCAGCAGAATGTGAGCCTGCAGCCAACCCCCTTCTCCTTGTGCGCTGAGGTGTTACCGGGCATGCTTGGAGGGTTCTCACAAGTCAGAATTGATGGCACGGTATCCTTTGTGATGGAGGTGCCCTGCCCTACCTCCCACCCACGGTGGCAAAAATAGGACTAGGCTTTTCCTGGGTGGAGGCAAGAGTGAAGGGGGCAGGACTTGTTCTGTGAATGTCAGGTAAAGCAAGGTTGCCTGAGTTGGGTGATAGGAGACATTACTGGGAAAAGGCAGACATTCCCCCCAGAGGAGAGGAAAGAGGTCAGTAGAGTTTTTGCAAGAAGGGAGCTATCTAGAGAACAATAAAGGATACCAGGAGTGGTGAATTTTGTATACTTTTAAAATGACATGTGTGCAAGTTGCTTCAGGAGCTTTGTTATTGCACTGGACCACGACACCTTTTTCTCCCTCTGCTGCTGTCTCCTCTCCCAGAGCCACTTGCTGAGTGCACACAGCCACCTTAGGAGCTCAGGGCACCAGGCTCCCATATCTTTGCCTGCTGTCACACTGCTTTTTTGTTCTAACATTTAGCTTGTATCTAACTGGTATTATAATTGATTTGGGGGAAAACAGATGATTGCTTCTGTTTTAGAATTGTCTTGGTATATTTTAGTGGTTTTTATTAAATTGTTGAGTAGAATGGCTCTCCTTCCCTTTGAAAAACAGACCGATGCCCACCTTGATCTACTGTGGCTTTGGTTCCAGCACCCTCAGCACCCTGGGCAGCTGACCCCTGCCCATCCACCCATTCTCTCCCCCGGCCCAGCTAAGCACTGTGTTGGCCACTCATGAGCCACGATCCAGTTCTGTTTCTTGGAGCACGATGCTTTCCCCTCCACCATGCAGAGCCAGAGATGGAGGAGAATGCAAAGCAGACACACTCTGTTCCTGAATCACTTGTAGCTGCTTTGCCCATACCCTGGGTCTGATGAAATAAAATGTGTTAAGATCCTTTAATATGTTTCTGTGCTACAAATTCTGCCTTGGGCATTGGGTCAGTGAATGTGGTGTAATCCGGGATTGCTGCTGGTGGGAGTATAAATGGCTAATGCTTTCCAACAAGCTTTCCTGTAGCCACCTGCTGTTCCCAGCATGTACTTACAAATGAGCTATGAGGTCACTGTGCTGTCCTGAGCTTTAAGAAACTTTTACCTTGCTGGAAAAAAAAATGTGATTCTTTTTTCTAACAAGCTTGCCTGGTCATTTCAGACATATGGCTCAGGCACATTTGTCATTATTCTTTAAAAAGATAGGAAGTGGTGCCTATTGATGAGTTGAAATTTGGAGTGTCTGTTGCCGAGGTTTCTCAGGAAGCTTCGGGAGGCATCGGGTAGGCTGTGTTTGCTGGAGCCCATGCTCACGTGTAGGAACAGTCTCTGATTGTCCTCCTAACTGGACGTACACTGCAGCCAGCACAGGTAGGGGGCTGGAGGGCAGACGTGACTGCACAGACAGCATGCACACGTGCACTGCCACCTCAGGCTGCTCACCGGTGGATCATTTTACAGGGCCTCGGTCCCCAAGGCTTGTCAGTATTTTTAGTTTCTGCTTGAACCTTTGCTTTGACAATTTGAAATTCAAATGAGCAATAAAGTGTAAAATATTTCTTACAAGTGAGGTAGAAACACCTAAATAGCTGGAGCTGAGGCCTGCCCTGGTCTGTGACTTTACTAAAACCACCGCGGTGGGTGAGCCTTCAAGGGGGCCCCCCCGCCCCCCCCCCGAGGGCGTCAGATCCTGCAAGAAAACAAATGTTTAATTAATTAAAGTCTAAAACTATCCAGAGCTGCCCAACTTTGCCAACTTTAAATGGGGCTTTTTACTCTAAGATAAAGCCGATAAGCAGCATTTCTGTCTGACAGAGATTGAATAAAAATGTCAAGGGCTGAGACTTGGAATGTGGATTTTGGCATCACTTTCTTTGCCTCCCTTAGGAAATTCCATGGATAAAGTTCTAGCCCCTGCTTAATTCTTAGGGTTTGGAGGGAAGTGCTGGCTGTGGGGGGGAGGAGCCCAGGGCCTCAGCCAGAGGGTAAGGGCTACCCTGCCTGCTGCCTACAGAGTGTAAGGTTGGCTCCCTCCTTCTGCCCCCCAGCTCCTCCTCCTCCCATCTCCCTGTCCCCAGTACCTTAGCCATTTCCCATGGCTTGTGGGTGAGGGAGCAGTGGAGGGATGGAACTGGTAGGTGAGGCAGTTATCTGGTTCTAGTGCCCTCAGGGCCTTGCCTACCAGCACTACTGAGAGGTAAAGGACACAGACCCTTTCTTCTCAGGTCTTTGGTAAGGCTTCTTCCCAGTGTTCCTCTTGGGCAGTGATAGTTGTGGATTTTTGTAAACAAGTTAGTGAAACAGAAAACAGTGTTAAAACTTTCATAGCACTTAGAGCAAGGTGTTGGGTGTCATCTGTGTTTGATGATGGCATTTGTACAAATTATTCTCTATCCTGTGTGTTTAGTCTCAAAATACACCCCCCCCCCACACACACACGCACGCACCCGTGTAAGGAGATGTGAAGTTTAACTGTGGATGAAGGCATCAGAATGAATTGTATGGCTTCCAGACATTAACTTTAAAAGCTAAAGAGTCAGAAGTTTGGTTCCCACCAAATGAGCATTTTTAGAAACATGCACTTTCAGACCTTTTCGAGTCTTAGAAGAATGAGCCTTAGTTCCAT